CCCTTGTCCTGTTCAGCATTATGGTAGTAGAACTGAAATCTGCGTACCGTGCAATGCTGAGCAAAATTGCTTTGCTTTTTTAGTGCTGAATTACCGAACCAAGAAGTTAATATTTTTGCTTTTTCTGGAGCATTTATTGGGCCTGAGCCTGTGCGCTAATGGCTACTTGTGTTTGGGCATGATGGGAACTGTTGTGTTCTTATTATCCAGCCCCTGGAATGAATCGGAATCAGAATCAGAATAAGGTTTATTGCCAAGTAGGTTTTTCACTTACAAGGAATTTGCTTTGGTGTTTGGTTCACAACGCTTCTATGAGAAACAAGAAAGGACATACAATGTAGAAATACAAATATAGAATCAAATATAATAATAATAATAAATAATAAAATAAAATTCAAATAAAAGCTCGGCCTTCTTCACATTGGTGAATTTCACATAGCTGTCAGGCACAATTAGATCAATTACTATCAAATATTTTATCTTCTTAATCCTATTTCTTTTGGTTTGACTAAAGATCCTGGTAATGATCTAGTAATGTTCTCTCCCCATTGTCCTGTCATTGTTAATGAGTCACTGGTGATTAATTTTGAAACCTTTTTTGACCCAAGGTACATTTTTTCATTGAAATAATCACAAGGCACACCAACCAAAAATGTCAAACACATCTGTAGTACATCTATAGTAACACTATACTTATTCTTATCTTATCAAGTAATCCACATTTCGTTGTCATGATTCACCTTGTGTTTTTTGTACAATGACAATAAAGGAAGTCTAAGTCTAAGTCTTATCTTAAGTGTCTTGAATAGGAATCAAATAAACACAAAAATGTATTTTTATCATATTTTCTATTTCTTCTTTCAAATTGCACTTAACATGTCCACTTCAATATTACAAAATTATATACAAAATCTAGTCATAAGGAATTATTACATGATTACTCCACCAGTCACTAGAACAGCACACACACTCAAAAATGGCAAATTATTTGCAGATAATTAATTCCTTATCCAAAAATCTTTTTAGACCAATTAGGTGAAGTAGTGGTTGAAAAACAGTGTTTTAAGGAGCTGTTTCCAGAGCCACCGTGGTGTTCTGTGGACGGTTTGTAGGTGGATGGGATGCAGGCTGGAACATGCTAAATGTGGGTTTTTTTTTGGGTTCTGGAAAGCGATGGTATGTGGGAGGGCAACTGCGGCAAACGGTTGAACTTTGAAGGCGCCCACGATGGCACAGATGGGCCCGGAGATAATCCACCATTAATACGGCCATCACCAAATCAGCTCCAAAAGCCATCCCTCTCCCCCATCATCATCATCCTCATCATTCCTTTACAGCCTCTGGGATTAGTTGTGTGCTCATTTGGAAAGGAAACATTCAGAAGACCACGCTTTTAGCTCGTAGGTTGATCCTACTCAATCGGAAAGATTCTCAACCCCCTTCACACGCCCGCCGGATTCGAGAGGTGCTTTACAACCTCAAAACAGAGAAATTGAGGTTTTCTCTTAGAGGCTCCATCAAATTATTTCAGGCTACATGGGACCCTTTTTTGTAGATATTTTGACTCATTTAATCTTCTTGGCCCAGAGGATACTTGATTGTTTAACATGATTTCCATTTGATTTCTATCTAC